TTTGAAACCGAACCAGTTTGCGCCGTCTGCATTCGTCGAAATCATGACGAGCCACGTGCACATAAGTAGATTTGCGCGTTATTAATAATATGTAAGACCTTAAGAGTAATATAGAATGTATCCGTCTGTGAAAATTTACGTTGACATTTCATTGTCATTGATAAACGATTTCATGTAAAAGATTTAAGATATATATATATATATATATATATATATATATATATATATATATATATATATATATAATATACAAAAAGGTTAATGGTGAATCAGGCCAGGAAACAGTAGTATTAAAAAGTGCTCAATGCACCTGTGAAAGATAAAATAAAAGTAAAAATAACATGAAGAGCTCTTAATATAAAAATCAGGAAATCAGTTGAATCCACTACCTTGCTTTTAAATCTTATGGTATCCTCAGGCGATTTTTATCAAATGACCTGTACGGTTGAAACCAATGTAGCGGATTCAACTGACCTCCCTGATTTATAAAGGCGTATATATATGTATATATATATATATATATATATATATATATATATATATATATATATATATATATATATATAAATTTTGGAAATAGTTAACAACTGTTTATTTTATATCGATATTATACGGATAAAATGGAAAATATTGATTGTCATTCCGGAAGGGAGATTTATTTTGATAAAAAATTTTGTGTCTTTTTTCTGTCACTTTATTTTCTATTGCTTTCTTCCGCTTCGTCTATGTCGTTTTGTATTCAACAGCTATTAAGTAAACAGCGTATCTTGGAAGAAAATCTTTAGTTTCTGTCGAGATTGAAAATCCGATCTCTCCTCTTGGTAGAGATCGGATTTGGATCTTAACAATTAGGCTTCAAGGGTCAACAAAAGTTCCTATTTAATCATATGAAAATGCAGTCATATAATATGATGAAAGAAAGGCCAGATAAAACGAATATCGACATTGCTTCATCTGAAGAGGCACGGATAAGAAGCAATGATAGATTTTGTAAAGGGATTCCGAAGTTGGATGCTGGTCTGCAAAACGAAATGCATTTTGGGTTACAGACCACAAGTGAATCGTGTAGAAAGTCACTTTCATAAATTTACATAACTTTTCAAAATATGTTATAAATTTCTATCTATCAGTCACTCTCTCTCTCTCTCTATATATATATATATATATATAGGTAATAAATCCGTTGATATATAATCCAAGTGGATCCTAGCAATATAAAATATGAAAATTGATGCACGAACAGGGCTCAATGTATTTATTATTTCAGAGTAATTAAAACAAGAAAATCTAAAATTACCTCATATGAGGAATAGGCCTATTTCAACTGACGATATTGCATATATATATATATATATATATATATATATATATATATATAAATTTAAATTTGTGTATTTAGGCAGCAATTTCACTTTTAGACATGTCTGATAAAAGAAATTACATACATTATGTCTGTTAATTTTTAATAAAATCCGTTCATACTCACGAATAACATTCCGTGTATTGATATTAAAGGATGAGAGAAATGTGCTATAGCTGTTTAAATTTCTTTTATTTTCATTTCCCAAGTACAGTTTTGTACTACTTGCATCCCTGAAGAAGATCTTGAGAGAAGATCGAATGTACTTGGGAAAATAAAATAAAATAAATTTAAACAACTTACATTTCTCATCCCTAACATCAATCAATACGGGAATGTTATTTAGAGTATGACTGGATTTATTAAAAATTATCAGATATAATGTCTGTAATTTTTTCAGACATATATATATATATATATATATATATATACACAGAAAGTTCTATGTGTAAATTGTCGCCATTTTATATTTCTAATTACGTGCATACGCGTTGTATTTTTTCGATTTTTTCCATTACACATTATAGTAGGGTCAGTTGGACAGCATCTGGGAGAAAGAAAGCATCATGGCGCAATTAACTCTACCAAAAATTTGGAAACGGCATGCTGTACTCTTTGGCATTTGCACCGGAACATTTGAAGTTGTGCTGTTGGCGTAAAGTTTAGCGGCGCTAAAAATCCATTCGTTTTGGTTTGTCTTTTGCGTTCATTTCGCACTGATTATTTAAAAAAAAGTTATAACTGCGTTTTCACTCCAACCCCAAGCTATGCATAAATTATTAAAGCAAACTTAATCCTAATCCTTATCCTCGGTCAACAGCAAGGATAAGGCTGAGTTCAATCCCTCTGTCGATATATTAAGCGCCTGCAGGCTGGGGTAATGCATATGTCTGGTTGATGGTGAGAAGGCATGGATTTTGCAAGTGTCGTTTAATATGGCTAATATAAAATATATTATATTTATCGAAAAAGCTGACAAAACCATATTTTGCACAATATTAGGGAAATTTTAGAAGTGTTTTTTGGTGTTTTTTTAGTTAACTTAAGCCATTATTGATTAAGAATTGTTCGCGGAAAAGTGATTAGTCGTTTGATTTTATTTTGCTGAAAATTCAAAAGGGTTTCTTTTAATACTAAAAGAATTTATCACCTCGAAAACGTTGCGATCAAAAAGGCATGAAAATAGATGAATTAAAAGGCTTCAAAATGTTTGTCAAAAACTATTAGGCCGAACTTTTGCACTTCAAGGAATTAAATACGATTATATTTTATTCAATTACATATCCAACATTACTGGCAAAAACTTGTTGCAACTTATCAGACAGGATCTCCGATACCGTTTGAGTAAATGTCTCCAGGTTTTGACGTGTAAAATGTTTTAAACGAACACATTAATCGGGTTATCATTCGAGAAATTTTCCGCTTCAAATCTTCTGCAACGATCGAAAACTATTATAATTATAATAATGCGTGAAAGTTCAGGTGAATAATATGGTAGTGATAGAACTGACCAGCCGTGTTCCAACATGTTATCATAGAGTAGAAAATTTCTTTTTTTCTATTGACGATCGTAGTAGGCATTCCGACCAAGCTTTTATGGACACGTTGTATCTATAAATGCTATTTAGTATTTTATTGCGTTTTTAAGACCTTTAAACTTATAACAGCCGGGCGATTCCACTACACCTACAACATTAGCTTTCTACGCTGGACCTCAGGGACAGCTGTAGAGATTATGAATGTGCGTCGTGGTGTAATAGATGACGGTTCGGAATGAGAAATCGTAGAGCCGAGTTCGAATTCCAGCCGGGTTCGCTACATTCACTTACCTTGGGGAAGGCATGAATCCGTCTCTTCTCCCCAGCTATGGGTTGAATAATAGGACAGTTTGACTTCTATAAACTTGGGGTGGAGGGAACTGGTTTACCGCAGAAAGAAACGGCAATCTACCGAGGGAAATTTTTCTGCATCGTAAGTCATTCATCGAAAGATACATGATCGTCTAAGCGTGAATCATGTATGACACTAAATTGACTGCCGCGATTAATTCTTTTCAATCCACTCCCTTTTGAATTCAATAGTGTCGTACGAAACACATTTTTCATCAACTGTTATGATATATTTAAGGATCCATACACACGTCATTACAAGTTGTTTCATATGTTTGCCATTCCAAGAGGTTTTACAAAACGGAAATTATTTAGTATTCAACCTTATAGTTTAAGAGCCTCACTTAAGGATTTCTGTAATTAATTCAACTGTAGAATTTGGATTTGTTTTTTGTTCTGTTGATAATTATAAAGCAACAAATACACAAACTGTAATTGCGAAAAAGAAACGCATTGAATTGAAAACAGATTTTCAGCTCAGTAGAACACCTGCTCAAATAAGTAGAACAATATAATGAGGGACCCATTCAGCATTTGTGGCAAGTTGATTGTGATTATCCAAAGCCAATGTGTTAAAGACACACGTTGGTTCAAAAAGTTACTTTAAAATATCGACAACTATTACAATGTTTAAGAATTTTAATTTATATTACATCCGTTATGTACTAGGAAAAAATAGTCTGAATTACGTCACACCTTTTCGTATATAAGATTTGTTTTTTTTTACGGCTTATCAACCTTTTGTAGGTTATTTAAAGTCAGAAAATATATTCAAGGATGTTTGCATGTAAATTAATATAACGAATACAACAGGACTTGGATCTCTTATTTAAAATTCCGTGAGGTTATCAATTACAAAACCCGCATATCCAAGCTTATAAAATAGTATTACTGTTATACCAGAACATTACCTATTCTATTGTAATAGACTCTCCCACAGATAATAAGTAGTAGTAGCGGTCGCCAGTTGAGCTCAGTGGAGTTGAGTGAGTCAGTCGATGTCGGACATTGAAGTATCAACCATCACAACTAGATTGCTGCGTCATTAACTCTTTTTTCAAGTTCCTAACCTTTTGTACATCGGACCCCTTTTAGGGCCGACTTAGCGAAATACAAGCCTCCACTGTGAAAACTACTCTACAACAATTACCAAGTAGTCATCCATCTAGATACTGATCAGGTTCAGCGTTGCTTAACTTCGATAAGATATTGCCGTATGGATTCGTACGTAAGGAGTATATAACATAGGTTGAGGCTTTATATAGACGCTCTTATCATTTAGTGTTATGCATCATAAATTATATGTACAATATTCTAACACATAACTTCATGAATTCCCAAAGAAACTTTCACTTCATTGGTTTTTATACGATTTTCAACACACACACACACACATTTTGTTCTGACATTGTTTCCACCAAAAAATACTTCCACGGTATCTGAAGGCGATACATATAAGTAGACTTCGCAACCAATCAAGCATTTTGAACGTGCAACTAAATAGATTTGCACCTGGGCTTCTGTTGGCTCTATGTACCACTTCTGCTGCAATGGTGTCTGATGTCGCCAATGTTTCGTGCTGGATACTTATGGATTAAACGAAGACTGAAATATAACATCATCCGCTTTACCGCATCAGCAGCAGTAGGGGCCGGGCGGTTGAGTAAGTGACGAGGAAAAAGCAAAATTAAGAACTGCCGTGTTATGTGTGAAGAGACATAGATAGATAATGAATATACTTAGTTAATGAGTTAATGATAGATAGATAGATAGATAGATAATAGATAGATAATGTTCAGACTGGATAGATATTGATGAGACACAGATAGATAGATAGATAGATAGATAGATAGATAGATAGATAGATAGAAAGAAACAAAGATAGATAGATAGATAGGATAATAAAAAGTACTACATAGATAGATAGATAGATAGATAGATTGACACAGACGATACTGTATAGATAGATAGATAGATAGATAATGTTCAGACTGGGATAGATATTGATAAGACATAGATAGATAGATAGATAGATAGAAAAAAACAAAGAAACAAAGATAGATAGATAGATAGATAGATAGATAGCTAGGATAATAAAAAGTTTTACATAGATAGATAGATAGATATGAATAGACTGAGGTAGATAGATAGATAATGAATTAACTTAGATAATGAGTAGACTTAGAAAGATATTTCAGAAACTTAAATAGATAGAAAGTTACATATCAAGGATGACGTTAAAAAAATTAAAATATTATAATAAGAATTATACACTACAATAAGTAAGAGGGAAGAAATAGGAACTAGATTATTACGGATAGATAATGAGTTAGAAAAAAATCATAGAAAGTTTTAACAGCTGCCCACGCACAAACCTGCCACAAGAAGATTCAAAAAATTTGTTTTTAAATCATTGCATTTTTTTTTGTAACAAAAATATTTTTCTTGCTGATTATAACAAAGTGAATCTGCCTGCAGAAAGGAGAGTAATGGGGGGAAATATGAGTAGAAGGTAGAGTAGTGAATAGAATTAGAGGGTGAAGTAATAAAAAAAAAAGAGAGAGAAAAAGGGAGAAGTAGAATAGAAGGAAGAAGAGAAAAAGATCTGGAGTGTTATCGAGAGATTAATAGGGTTAACGAGCGTCGGAAGAAGATAATTGTAGATGAAATGCGGAAGACGGTAAGTAAAATAAAATAAAAAAAAAACTCCATAATAGAGGAAAGTGGAGAGGCTACAAGAAATGCTGTAAGTGAAGTACAAATAAGATTTCCAAGACAAACGCGGATAGGATTGGTTCTGCAGTGAATAGAGTGCATTATGAGTAAGTTGGTGGTTTGAAGTAAGAGGCAGTCTGGGAATCGTGCATGAGAATTAAGTGCGAGATAATTCGATAAGAAGGACAACAGGGGAATGCTAATAGGTTGTGAAATAAATGGAATGAAATTTTGGAGGAGGGAGGGAGGTCAGAGAAGTGATAATGGAAGTGAATCAATATGTAGATGTGTCAAAACGGCGCGCGAGAAAGGTGTGATTGTGAGTGTGTGTGTGTGTGTGTGTGTGTGTGTGAGAGAGAGAGAGAGAGAGAGAGAGAAGAAAAAAGAAAGAGCAAACCGGTTTGCTCGAAGACTGATGAAAACAACGATGTAAATAGAACGGGGAAAAATGATGAGCAAAAAAATTTAAAAAAAAACCCCAAAAACACCCCAAAAAAACAAAAAAACAAAAAAGAACTCGCCCTGAGTATACGATGTACGGAACACCAACAACGAATGACATCAGAAAGATGCAGTTGGAATTTCTGAGGCACATAATGAGGAAGGAGGGATTGGAAAACATGATACTCACAGGACAGATGGAGGCAGCACGTAACATACTTGATGAGCTTGAATAAATGGATGGTAGAGCAGTGTTTAAAAGAAATAACAAAAAGACAAAACATATTTAAAAAAAATAGACGAAGATGTGGAGGGACATGATCCCCAACATCCTGAAAGGACACGGCACATCAAATAAGACCATATTCTTCAGCGGACTTTGGTTAGATGTAACCGGTTACCATTGACTTCAACCAATGGATGTAGAGTAAATTAGATTTGACAGTCAAGCGCACAACTTCATTTATTAATGCAAAGTATCCGATGCATCATATTGCATCGAATTCTTGTGATAGCAACAAAATTCTCTTTGGTTATCTAAAGATTTCTGAAGAATTAGACAGCAGGTAAGATATGGCAGATCGTATATAAGAATGGAGAGAGAGAGAGAGAGAGAGAGAGAGGGGATTCCAGTGCAGACCAGAGGCTGTTTGAGAAAATAAAAGTAATAAGATACATTCAAATCGATCACTATACAGAGTGGTCCAAAAGTAGGTGGACAGTAAATGATAAAATTTGTTTGAGGTTACATATACAATTATATTTACTAATACAATTATCTGAAATATAAAATTAGATAAATTTAGTTATAAAACTTAAAATAATATACCACAAATACCATAGTTATAATGAACATTGTAATGATATAATTGATACAATGACTTATTCCACCTACTTCCCACCTTCTTTTGGTCCACTCTGTATATGAACGGGGAGACCGGATGTATAGTCTCAAACAAGGAAAATAGTATGACGTATGAAAATAGTATGATGATAGTCCATGATCGTAGACACGCCAACGAACCAGGAAGTGGGGAGAGGTGGGTAATATATCAGAACATTATCCGGACTATAGGAATCACCATGGCGGTAGTGTGTTAATAACACTCAGACAGTAATGTGCCATGCGAGGAGATCATGTATCTTTCAATATTTTTCTCACAGTAGGCTGTCATTTCTTTCTGCGGTAGACAAATTGCCATCTAAGGCCGGTCTGTCCTTTTATTTACCCATAGCTGGGGGGATACATACCTTTCCCAAGGGTATTACCATGTAAGTGAATATAATGGATGTGACTAGAATTTGAACTCGGTTCTCCAATTCCTCATTATTCAAACCGTAATTTGAGCAAAATTTTTGTCACTCGATCCACCAATGACCAGTAGGTTACCCACAAATAATAATACAAGAAGAAGAAGAAGAAGAAGAAGAAGAAGAAATACCCCTATGCTACAACAGGCGGCATGGTTCTTATAGCTTCTGAATATAACTGATTATCGTCTTACCCAGGACGGCTAAACTACGTCCAACACCAAGGGCTCTGATCAGGAGGTTTTGAGGAGCATGGAACCACATCTTAATTGCTGGTGTTCACAGTTCCACCCTGACTCGGGGTGGTAGCATCTGCTAACGTCCCAGCTATGGGAAAATAGTTAATCCCCAAACTGGGGTCAAAAGTCTATGATAGTGTAAAAATAGCTTTTAATACCAGAAATAATTGGTTAAAAAATTATTAGTAGCAATACATTTTTGAAGAAAAATATCACCAGCAATATATTTTTGAAGTAAAAAATATTACAAGAAATACATTTTTGGAAAAAAAAAATTACCAGCAAGCAATAAAAATTTTGTCGGCATTAAATAACACATTGAGGTTGATATGCCGTAAATCAAGCGAAACCAAACCAAGATTAAGATTAATTCCAATAAAGATCCTCTTCAATACGACAAATTAGCTAGTCAGTTTCCTGAATTTAACCAGTTGAACTTGTCCCCTAATGGCTGACGTACTATGCACCATTGTTTTTTTGAGCGCGATTCGTAGAAGAATATAATGCCCGGATGTTGGAAGGGTTGTTTTTTAAAAATAGAAAGATGAGGCAGCCACTTGGGAGTCACGTCTAGATACGTGTCTCCTAGTACCTGACCTACAGGATGTGATGGATGAATTGTCTTCTAAATTACGCAAAAATGAAAATAACACTGACATCTCATTTTAACAGATATATTTACCAAACCTTTTAATAGGAGACCATTTTAGCTGACTTGGTTACGTAACCTGAAATTATTTTTTATAACTTGGCTTCGCATTCAAAGTTATGCGTACCATTATAAATTTCTAGAATGATGATGGCTAAATAACATTGGGGTCACATTTATATACATGGAAGCATCCTCATGCGGATGTCATTGCGATGTGATCTTTGAAATCAGCGACCGAAAATTTGCCAAAAACCCTTTTCGAACCTAAGTCACCAAAATTCGTGTTAGCCAGTGTTATTTGCACAACAGTTGAAATAATATGCAAGCAGCATAACAGAATATGAAACAACCTACGGACATACAAGGAACAAATAAACCCTTTACGACTACGACATGAAAGCAGTAAATTTCATATTTATAAAACAAAGAATATTTCCTCAAAAGAATATTATCGTGTTGTCTGTGTAAAATGAAGCCTATTTTAAATTCATTGTTTTGAAAATTCATTTTTTTTGTTACACAAAAAACGGCAAAGATAAATGAAAGATGTTTGCCATTATTTTTGACATTTGTTCGGTCATTTTTTTAAAACTTTCAAGAAAACAATATTTTTGAAATATCAATATAATAAATATCCGTATCCAGGCCACAGGCGCATATCCATACACAGGCGATTCACATAGAATTGTACAAGCAAGAATGTAGCTAGTAACAATATGCGTAAAGAAGGGCACCTCGACGTGTTGTAATGGTTAGAAAGTATATCTTCCTAGATCTATTAAAACTGAGTAGTGAGTTCGATCCTCACTAGCTGCCCAATACTTTTGGCCTTGTGCCATAACTAAGCTGTGCTTAAAAAATCACAATAATATTCGTAAAGAACATAAAGGAAAAGTTTGAAATGGTTTTAGCCCGATTAGGAAGACTTTCTTGAAAAGGTAATCTGATGTGTTGGTCTGATTTTGGGAAATCGTTCAGCTGAGAAATTTTCAGGACATCCACAGACATACCTAGAATAGCTGTTGTATTTCCATATATTTCTTTTAAATTACAAGAATAATACGATAAATAAATTGATGAAAAGGAAGTTGTTGAAGAAACTGAGGGATTTCATATTTGTTGTATTTTTTATAAAAGCATTAATTGTTCAATGGAACAGTTTGTATAAGCCAAAAATATCCACACTTTCGCCATAGCATATCTTTAGGTTTATTATACAGCCTTCATGCGTCCTTATAGTTGGTACAATTTTGGTCTAAGTTTGACCTTGAAGTTTTCTTGCTGCTGTTACATTGTAAACGTGACCGCTCCGCTGACAACGTTCACCAAAGAATAAAAAGAGAAGTGATACTATTTCTGTGTTCAAAACGTGTGTCAGCAACAGTGCATTATCGCGTACATGTGTGGTATGAATGGATCGAGAAATTTAAAAGTAGCTGTACGAAGGATAGGGACACCCGCCAACGTCCACTACTGACAAGAAGATTCATCAAGCTCGAGAGATGGTAATGACGAACCTGCAAGTAAACATCGATGAGGTAGCATGTTCGCTGAAGATTCAGATCACAGCTCTTGGTTCCTCTTTGGAGCCCACTGCTAGCGGGGCGGTCATGTTTACATTGTAACAGCAGTAAGAAACCTGGCACGATCAAGTTCAAACATCGATCAGGAGAAACAGAGTTTGTGGAACGACGTAGCCAAAATCGATGCTTTTCAAAGGTAACAATGGCAAACAGCCCGGAGTTGACAGCGTATACAAAGGCAAATATTGGCTCAGAACTGTTCATAGTGATTGATGGGACTCGTTTACTAGAGCAGAACTACGAGCAGGCATGCTTTTGGCCAGACCTCCACTTCTGATGCAAATCTGCCGTGCTTGTCTGTGTGAATACATATTTATGTAGGAAGAAGGCGAAGCGAGTAGATAGACTGTTGTACATATTAAAAGTGTGGGCAGAAATTAACGTTACATGTGAATAGCAGTTTCACAACTTAAATGGCAATCAGACTATTAGGTGGCTTGATAATAGCGTCAAGTTCGAAATTCTTAATCACCAGGCAGTCTTATACCAATTATCTCCCTTCATCGCGCGCGCACACACATTGTATATTAAGTAAAAAAAAATATTCGTACTTTCGCCATATCTTTAGATTTGCTACACTGCCTTCTGCTGATGCGTGTTTATATTTGGTACTATTGTGGTCACGTGTTTAAAATTAGAGCTTGATTCTGCTAGTTTTCTCGCTGCTGTTACAGTGTAAACATAGCCGCTCCGTTAGCAGTGTGGACCAAGGAATAAGAAAGAGCAGTGAACTGATTTATTTGGTACTCGGAGGCTTTTAACACAATACGGGGACAGTGCACTACCGCGTTAAAGTGTGTATGAGTCGATAGAGGAGATTAACAAGCATGCCACACGAAGATGGACCAAGTCACCCGTCAATATCCAATCACTGACAATGAAGATTCAGCAAGTTAGAGAGAGGGTATTGTCCAACTGTTGAGTTAACATCGCTGAAGTAGCATGTTCTCTGCAGATTCAGATTACGGCTCCTTGTTCCTCCTCGGTGCACAGTTCTAGCGGAGCGGCCATGTTTACACTGTAACAGCATCAAGAAAACTGGTGTGACCAAGCTCAAACAACGAACACATTAGTACGTACTATAAGCATGCATGAGCAGAAGGCAGTGGAACAAATCTAAAGATATGTTATAGCGAAAGTGCGGATAATTTTTGACATACCATCCTGTATATATATATATATATATATATATATATATATATATGTGTGTGTGTGTGTGTGTGTGTGTGTGTGTGTATGTGTGAGTGTGTGTAGGCAGCAAATTCTCATTTAGATATGTCTGACAGAATAAATTACTGACATTATGTCTGATAATTTTTAATAAAATCCGTTCATACTCACGAATAACCTTCCGTGTAATGATGTTAAAGGACGAGAGAAATGTGCTATAGCTGTTTGAATTTCCTTTGTTTTCATTTCCTAAGTTCCTCAGTTAATGGATAATTTTTCATGTTCTCATGACCTCTCAGCACATTATCAAGCGTTCTGCATTTAAAAGCATAGCGAAAAAATTACGGTAATGAATGACAACGCATATCTTTATATAAATACTTATACTAATGAACTAATGAACAACATATAGTTTTGTACCACCTGAAGAGGATCTTGGATAAAGATCGAAAGTACTTGTGAGATGAAAATCAAAGAAATTTAAACAGTTATAGCATATTTCTCTCATCCTTTAACATCCATACACGGAAGGTTATCAGTGAGTGTGAGCGGATTTTATTAAAAATTAGCGGACTTAATGTCTATAATTTATTCAATCAGCCATGTCTAAATATATATATATATATATATATATATATATATATATATATATATATATATATATGTGTGTGTGTGTAAGCAAATATATGGATATAGATCCGACAGTATGAAGAAAAAATATAC